TTGCCATCAAGTTGGCCCCTGACTCATGGCAGCCCCATGTGTGCAGAGCAGAGCTGCTCCACAGGGTCTTCAATGGCTGTCACCTGTTGGAAGCAGATCGCCAGGCCTGTCTTCCAAGGCACCTCTGAGTGGGCTGAAACCACAACTTTCTGGCTAGGAAAGTCCCCACCCAGGGACTCCATGCTACATGTATAGATATAGGCAAAAAAATTAATGGAACAATGACTATTTTGGAGGGTGGGCATGAAGTGATTTTTATTTCTTAATAACTTCATTATACCTTTCAATAAAATTCTCTTCCGAGAGCAATCAGAACAAACGGGAATAATAAAAATAAAGATAATTTTAAAAAATATATAAAAGCACCAGTAATCTTATCACCCGCTGGTAACATTTTTGAATATAGCCTACATATATATATATACACAACATCATTTAAAATTGGGAAAATTAATCACTTAGAGGATTAAAATTCATTACAAACCTACTTTGTCATCCACTGAATTTTGAGATCTCGTAATGCTTCAGTAAACTCTTCTTTCAAATCTTTTTCTTTTTCTGAATCTTTTTCTTTATCTTTGCTGCCATTCTTACTCTTTGTTGGTGGAGATATTAGGTAATAATGAACAGGGATTACATCCTAGGAATGTGGAAAGATATTCTTAGATGAGTATGTTTAATTTTACATATTTTTAAATCACCTTCAATAGCTGAATATTAAGTAAAATAGTATGCACTTGAGTTGTAGTATATTGTATACCAGAGTCTAAGGGCCAAAATACATAAAAAATTCCAATCTGTTATCAAAGTAATTTTCTCCCAAACTTTAAAGTACTGATGCTTCTACACATCTCCTTTTAAACAAAGGAGATAAAAACAGACTTCTCCATTTGAGTGCATTTGGTGTTCTTAGTATTCCTTGACAAACTGACGGTAAAAGTCCAGACAATTCTCACTATTCATGGTAGCTATGTTTTATAAAGTTCCTGTGAACACTGAATAAATACCAAACCGTCCTTGCACATCAGGCAACTCAAATTTTTCGCTATTCATGCATACACATCTGTGATTGTTAAAGCACCACAAGTATTGATTTTGGGATTACAAATAAATTTTATTGAGTAGGAGAATTCGCAAACACAGAATCTGTGAATATTGAGTATTATGGATCAAACTGTGTCCCCCATAAATGTGTGGTGTCAACTTGGCTAGGTAATGATTCCCAATATTGTGAGGTTGTCTACCATTCTGTAGTCTGATATAATTATCGTATGTGCTGTAAACTCTAACCTCTATGATGTTAATTAGGCAGAATTAGAGGCAGTTGCATTAATGAGGTGGGACACAACCTACATGATTAGGTTGTTATGTTGCCTCAATCTCTTGAGCTATAAAACAGAGAAGCGAGCAGAGAGAAGGACCTCATTACTACCAAGCAAGAAGAGCTAGGAACAGAGAGCGTCCTTTGGACCCAGGGTCCCTATGCTGAGAAGCCTAAAGTAGGGAAAGACTGATGACAAGGACCTTCCCCCAGGGCCGACGGAGAGAAAGCCTTCCCCTGGAGCTGGTACTCTTAAAAGGAGCCCTGGTGGTGCAGTGGTTAAGAGCTACAGCAAGATACGGCTGCTAATCAAAAGGTCGGCAGTTTGAATCCGCCAGCTACTCCTTGGAAACTCTATGGGGGCAGTTTTACTGTGTTCTACGGGGTCGCTATGAGCCGGAATCGTCTCGACAGCAATGATTTTTTTTTAATTTAATACTACGAGAGAATAAATTTGTTAAAGCCATCCACTTGTGGTATTTCTGTTACAGCAGGACTAGGTGACTAAGAAATTAATGT